AGATAGATAGATAGATAGATAGATAGATAGATAGATAGATAGATAGATAGATATAAATCGGTATGACCAAATTTGGAATCAGCAGGTTAGATTTTTTTAAAGATCCATGATTGGTGATCAGCCAGAAAACTGCAATCAGTGCATTTCTACTATGGACTATTTATGGTTAATCTTCCCCTGTTAAACTACTCTGCAAACAAAACTTTTGCTTTTTTTTGTCTGTTCTTGCAGACGAGCCACCAGAGGAYGAGAACATCACCGAGTCTGCTCCCACAGAGGTGACTGTAGCAGACACAGAGCTGGTAGCAGAGCGGAGCAACAACATGACCATCAGATGTAACCATCGGCACAACGGCACGGTCTACCAGGTCATATTTGAGAAGATGCTGCTCGGCCATCYCTGGACCATTATTGGAGTGTGCAAGACGGTGGAGGGGGGCCTGGTGGGCGAGGACTACAGCGACAGAGGCAGAGTCGACTGCGCRGACAGCCTGGATGTCAGTTTGCACCTGACCGATGTCGCGTCAGAAGACAGCGGCTTTTACCGTTGCACGTTTAATACGGACGTGGGTGTGCAGACCACCACCGTCCAGCTCACAGTTTCTGCTTCAGGTACAACAAACAACATGCAGGCTTTAAACTCCGTTGTACCACTGCATGATAAATTATTGTTTCATGCTTAGTGTGATTTAAGAGGACAAATGCAGCTCACAGATGACAGTGACAAATAAAACATGGCATCAAAACGTGTGAGCTACAAAACACTTGTGATGCTGCGTACAGTTGTTTCAGGCTCATGTGAGATTTATGTCTCAAATTCAGTTTTTTTTAACAAACTAGTAAAATCACAGTGTTCTAATGTTGAATTCAAAACTCACTGTTCCTCTCCGGTTGTGTTTATTGTAATAATCTACATTTTCATTSTACAAGCAGGTGGATTCAGCCTGTCGTTATACATGATGTACATTTACATCGGGGCTGGAGCTGCTGGACTTGTTCTGCTCACTGCCATCCTCATCCTCGCCATGAGGCACAGGTAGAACCCCTCAGGCTCTTTTTAGCAAACTTGACTCAATTAAAGAATAGCTTTGTGTTCTAACAATAAGATTAAAAATACTAGATTATAGTCTGAACTTGAGATGCGTATTATACTGTATCAGCATTAACATCAATGTTGGTCATTTTTTAGAATATTGGTATTGGTAAATAAAACTGGGCCGATATCGACACAGATTTCCCACGTTTTAACTTTGTGTTTCTGTTTTGGGAGGGGAAATGTTTGGTCGAGCGGCATCTGTTTGATCATGATAGTGATAGTGACGCTGCGCAGCCAGGAATAACTGAAGTAGAGAGCCGCGTCAGAGGTCTGGTCGTTTTTTATGGTATCGAAAAAAGTGTGTTTGTGCGTTTATGTATATAAATAATTTGTGTGGTTGTGTAATATCGGTATAGGTTATCGGCCGTAACACCAATAATAATATCAGATATCGATATCTTCAAAAATTTTCATATCTGTGCATCCCTAGTGTGAATCTTCTCAAAGTAAGTGAAATAATCTGCCATTGCAGTAAGACAGTTGCACTTAATGAGACTTCTCGAAATAAGGAAACAAGATGAAGTAGATAATTTCCATTTCTGCTACAAGATCTAGTCAAAATAACTTACCTTACTTTTAATGGATTTGAAGTTCATTACATTAATAACAAAGACTGGCTTGATATTGTAGTGACATGTTCACATTAGCTCCCGACACATAGAGATGTGACATTCACGAACGATCCAAATCTTTTGAGCAACTCTTTASAACAAACGATAGGAGCCGAGTCGCGGGCAGTGAAGGACCGTTTGTAGTTTTATTTTCTTTATTCCTCATATAATCTGTATTTTTTTATTAAATCCCTCCCGCTTTGCTTTTTCACGGAAAACAGGCAGCTCCCGGGCAAAGGGGGAGGGGCTTTCTGCTTGACAAAACACATGGTTCCACCCACGTAAGGTGATGACATCATCACATGCGGCGACGTGATTACGTGACTCGTTCAAAATCAAACTGCTCTTTTGAACAGCTCCATGAAATAAACGGCTCCTCGAGATCCGGATCCCATCAGATTTATCCCATCTCTAATACATATCACATACATGTTTACAGTGTAAATAAAGACTGTCCGTTTTATGAGTTCACAGTAGAATATTTGTTCAAACAGCTAGAACATTTTTTGTGTTTGAGGGCTGAAAAATTGCTCCTAATTTTAGCTGTTAGCTTCTTCATGAGTTCCTCTAGTTCTCCAACCTATCACTCCATCTGTTACAGGTAACACAATGACTACTTTCTGAAGTGTAGTTGACCCAAACTCTGTTCAGATAACTCCAAACTTTTGTTTTAAATACTAATCATTCTAAATCCAAACCCCAGGATGCTATTAAAGTTATTTACTAATATGTACATGCAAACGTTTTTTAGCAAGATGTATTCATAATTTTAAGTTAACAAAAGCTTTGATCTTGTTACATTTCATTGTCTGGAAACGAATTTCTGTAAGACTTTTATTTTGAAAGTCTGCTGAGCAGCAAACAACTGGTCCTGTCTGAAAACTGTGCTCGTAAGAGTTACATTACCAAAAAAGGAGCTTACCGATATTATTATTATTCCTAACAAACATTTTTATGTCGTCCACTAAGAATAAATTCAGTGCTTCTTGTCTGTTTTTGTTTGACGTTCACAGAAAGAAAATCAAGAGAAAGGAGTATCGAGTCAAGCTGCACCCGTCTCAGAGACAGGTAGATGTTGGTTTATTCATTCTGTCAACTCTTGTTTTCACACTTGACACTTTCAGGGGTCTCCCCCACCTTCTAATACAACACACCCTGAGCTACAAACCTGTTACACTTTACAAATAATATTTAATCAGCTACATCTCATCATCCCTTTAACCTGATACAGTGAAAGTCACGCTTCCTGACTCAACTAATGGAGCTTCACCATCACCAGCTGTGTCGTTTCCAGAGGAACAGATTGGCAAAAATGTTTTCAAAGTATTAAAAACCCAACATTAAAACTGCACAAGTGCAATTATTTGTTGTTAGATTCATGTAACTGATCATCTTAATAATCTGGACTCAAAGTCATTATTAGAAATAAATAAATGCATTGTTGGTGAAATTAACAGCAGCATGTGTTTTGGTTTAATTTTTTGCTTAACTCCTTGTAAACTATTAACATTTTACTACCTCCTCACAGCCCAACCTGTATGAGAACGTCCCCGTGTACCCCCAGATTGCCAAGAACTGCAGGCAGTCCAAATCCTGCCCGATCTATGCCAACCTGCAGGCTGGACGTGCCCTCCAAACCGCACGCTGCGATAAAAGAACGTGCGTGCTGTGAGCCGTGTGTGTCTGCGCCCCCGCTCGTTCGTCAGCGTCCTACATCCGAGCAAGGGATAAACAAATATTGGCAGAATATAATTATCCRTTTCAGATTTTATTTTATTTTATTTATTTTTTGAATCGGATGCAGGGATGGCGCCGACGCTGTTTAAACATCCCCACGTTGGGTTTGAAATGAGTTCACAAGCTGGCGCTCATCGCGGAGTCAAAAAGCTGACAGGCTTGTTTGAGAGCGGCCTTCCCCCTCTAATGAAATGTAGCGTGTAATTATTTTGGAGGGGATGTTTGTGTTTGTCAAAACAATATTTGACAGTAACTATCACACAGAAGAGAAAAAGACAAAAAGCCCGTATAATCATTCTTTTCACTCCTCTAACCCTCCGAGTAAAACGATTGACAAAAGCCTGCGTAATTGCCCTCTTTTCACTTTCATCCCTCCTGGTTTCTATTCAAAGCATGACAATAGTGTCTAATCATCTAACGGAAAAGAAAAGCAGTCACTTAGCGATGTACCATCACTTGAGACGGCTGTTTTTTTTTTCTTCCCCCAGCAGGCTTTTCGACTAGCAGAGCTGCTTTCTAGTTACGGCACGCTCTTCGTATGAAAGCTAAACTCTAATTAGCAGATCCCGAGCTGAAGTTTTACGGCTCCTTTTACTCGTCTTTGTCAGTTTTTTTTTTTTTGACAAATGTTTTTTTTTCCCCCTCTGTCTTGAAAATATGTAAAAGAAAGTCATTTCCTAGATGAACTGTCAAGCGTTTTCTCGTTTTGTATTTATTGTTTTTGCTTGCTTTTTGTAAATCAATATTTAAGCTTTATGGCACTGTTGTGTAAATAAACTGTGTGCTGTTTGTGAAATTTCATTCATTTGTCTCCGTAGAAATGGAGGCAGTGGCTGAGGCAGTTATGGATAAGCGGACTATTCCGCTAGGAAACGGGACAAATGTGGACGAGGTAGAAATGTGGAACATAAAAGGGACTTTAAAGTTTGGAATGGAAGTTGTCGCCTTAATTCCCTCCTTATTTTTTTGAAACCGTAGAAACCGTATGTTTGTGATGCCTGGGATTGTTTGTGTGCACTGAAACAGATATTTGTGACTGAGGAATAAAAAAAAAGGTTGTAAAAATAAAACTGTTGTGGCCTAAAGATCAACGGGTTTGTTGTGGTGTGGGAGTGTGTGTGAAGGGAAATGAACTCATCGCTGTGGTCTGAAAAGTAATCCAGAAAATCAAATAAGCACTGTTTTTGTCTGAAAG